GTTAAGAAAATGTTTTTGTGTGCCTTGAGAAGTTTGTTCAACTTTTTCAACTCAGCAACTGGAAAAGTTAGGAAATTGAAATTTTATGAGTATATTTCAAGCTCACGTGCACCTTGAAAATTAATCAAATCTCTTAGAGTGAGTTATGGAAGAGATTTTGTCAATGACTAGAAATTGAGGCACAAAACGGCTGTTTCAAAGTGATGTACTCTTCTTTCGTAGTGCGCTTAATTTCTGCTAACACCACCGAAGGATCTGTTAAAATTTTACAGTTTTTTGAAAAAAAGCAAGGACATTAGCTCAGTCCATAATTTTAAATGCATATCCAATAGCAAATCCCGTCCTGAATCGCCAACGCCCAGTTCCAAGACAAAAATCCACCAGGATTAAGTATTGAATATTTGTGCACGCTTTACTTCGACCCCATCTTTCAACCTCGTAATTCGACTTCCACAACCAAAGTAAATAATAAAATCTGTCATGATAAATTAATAATCGTACAGGGAGGGCAAAAATGATGGCAGCTGTGGTGAAAAACGCACCTTGTTGGTGCTTCCGAAACGGCAGTGATAACAGATAGACCAGGCGCTGATAAATGCGGAAAGTGCATGAACATGCTTATCACCTGGCAACCAGTACCACATATCGGCATCATCAAATTATTTTTGCCTGTAATGGTTCAATAGTCTAATATGTTATCGACTGAATTTTACTCACTATTCGGAATATCGACCTTACATCCCAAAAATTCCGAAATTCATCTGCAATAAACTGCGAGGTCAAAATTCTGTCCTTCCTCTCCTGTGCGAGGTAGAGGCACTCAGAAGTAGTCCAAGTGACAGCAATGAATATCAACAACAACCACCATGCTGAACTAGTTTAATTATCATGCTCAAGGAGGTGTTAGAAGATGCAGTCTGTGTTTCATCCCTTAGCTGTAAACATATGCCGAAGGCAGAATGCAAGTCGTAGTGGGAATCATCAATACAGCCTCCAAGTTGCCATCGATGTGATGTGCACGTGTCAAATTGCATCAGAATGGCGCAACGAAAAGGGAGGGGAAAGATAAGAAAGGATGCAAAAATAGGGAAATGAAGGCTTTAGAGGCGTTGTTTTTTTAAGCAGGTAGTGATGCACGTAGTTTCTGATTTCGCCGTCCTCAGGAAAAATATAGTTACTGAGAATGGCCCAGTACCGGAAGCTGAATCTGGAAAATTGTACTCCATCCCTGAATTGACATGCTAACTACTTGATGCTTGATATTTAAAACAGTTACTAGTTCAATATCATCCATCATTTCCGCCATCTCCTTTCTTCGTTCCACCATTGTTTCAACAGTGTTGTGTGTTTTAGTTACCAGCATTTTACGACCTTAAAGTTTCGTTTTTGTTTTCTGTGAGAATTACTGGCTCACAGGCTTTTCAGCAGCGACATTTTGGCAGAAAGAACTTTGACTACTTGAGATTCATCGGTATGTACTAAAGCGTCAACATCTCGCCCTTAATCATTGCCATTTCCGAGCCAGGTTGAAGTTCCTGTTGCATTTCGTTATGGACCAAATTTATCCCAAACAAGAACAAACAATAATACCAAAATTACAGAAAGCACAAGCGTAACAGTACAGCAAACGCAAACACTTCCTGGATGAATTCTTGGAGCTAGAAAAAGGCGCCTACTGTTTCTTTTTGTTTCTCTTTACATGTTCCTTGCTCTGTTAACAACCTATGGGGTGCTAGTAAGTGGTACCCGCGAAAAAGTGAGCGATACCGATCTCTGAAGAACTGAAGTATATTTAAAGAAAACCAACAGATTTGCAATTCAGAATCAGAGATTAGGCCTGTGTAAGCTACTTACACTAACTCCCGAGCGGAGTAAAAAATGCAAAAACACACAAAAGTCACAATTTTGAGTAGTTCGAAAAATTTCAACTGTCTTTCAAATTAAAAAAAAAATAATTCGCTGCATTCTTTTTCATTTACACTGCGTACAAAAAGTGCCAAAATTGTATGCTAAAAAGAAAAAAAAGCAAACTGATTACTAATGACCTTTTTTGAAGAATGGCATTTGTTAGCTCGTTAGCACCGCTATTTGGTGTAATGTAGTGCTCCCCTAATTTCTAACGAAATTTTTTTTTGAATTATTAACATTCCACAGTGTCATTGCTTCTCATTTTAAAATGCGAAAAATCTTCTTTCCAATGATTCTATTAAAGTACAAAATTTTTGCAAAATTTTAAAAATCCTGAGAAAAAAAGTCTGTAATTCTAAAGAAATCACATCCTGAAAAAAAATATTTTATGATTTTCAAACAAAATTCCATGGCAGTTCTGTAAATAGCGATAAGCAAATACGGTACAGGCCTTTATTCTAGCTACTCCATATATGTATATATTTGAAAAAATCAGAACCATTCATTTGAATATATATATATATATATATATATATGTATGTATAAAATCAGGACCATCTGTTTAAATATATATATATAAGTATAGATATATATATTTAAACATATATGTATATATGTATATTCAAACAGATGGTTCTGATTTTTTTTTTCTATATTCCTGCTATTATTTCTGCGTATGTGCTTTTTATCATTTTATTTTTACTCATTTTTATGGGCAGAAACGTAACAAGTAACTTGACTTCGCATTACACATTTTTTACAAAAATGCATATAGACAGTTTAATTTGACCGAAGAAAAAAGAATGTAACATAAACAAGTGTGAAATGAGGTCATGACGTGAGTATATTTTGCAAGCAGCAGTCTCTCTCATTGAGAACACCAAATGATGGTATTAATTTGACCACTTCGGATAAATAATGCACTTGATCCTGAAAAAAGAAATCCTAAAAAAAGTGATTTAAAACGAAAACAAATGATCCATATGACCGTCTGTCAGAATAACAGTTGAAAAATCCCGGTTCAGCTACCGGATTTTGAAAAACCATGCTCTTGCAATTCTTTTTATAATCGCCGAGCAGAATGAAACCAGAAAGCATTGATTGGACTGATCAATTTGTCGATAACCTCCCAAAAGTCCTCAATTACCTCTGAAGCCTCATCAATCACACTCAAAAAAGAACGTTGAAGGGTTTCCCTTGACACAGTGCGATCTCTCGCTCTAAACGCAAAATCACTGATCACCACACTTCTGCTTAGAACTCTGCCTGTGAGTCTTATCGAAAAGTTTGCAAATTAGAAG